AATTAATATTACATTTTTAACTTATTTATCAAAAACTATAAAATTAACAAATATTGAATAATTCAAATAATTCATATGTAAATAATATAGAGATTATAAAGAATATAGAAATTATAAAGAATATAGAATATAGAATATAGAAATTATAAAGAATATAAAAATTATGGAATTACAAGATTTATGGAAATTATAAGAATTTCCAATCGTAACAACGTTGCAACTTCAAAATTTTATAAGCTGCAACTAGTTATAACTAGATGATGCTTTATTTGTTATCACGTTACAACAGTTGCTGCGTCATCTTTACTGGTGATACTATTATTTTCATTATTATTTGAATAATTATAAGGAAAATAATATTTGTTAAAAGAGATTTCTGACCAATCTTGTGATAAAGGATTGTTATCACAAGCTTTTTCTTTGTTCACTATTGGTTTAACTTTTTCTTCTTCTTCTGAATTACATATAATATATATTTTATGTGTTTGTTCAAGATAATTTTTATACCAATAACAATCATATTGAATCAGATTGTGTAATCGATTCTGGAATTTATCTTCCATATTATTTTCAAAAGTAATAATTTTTCTGACTTCATTATGATCATTACATGTATATCCAAAGTGAGGTGAAGTTTTTCAGTATTTGATAAAGCAAATATATGGTAATTGAGTTTCTTGTCCTCTATAAGTTTTTTTTGAATGGTAAGACTTAAGATGGTAATATTCTTAAACTGAAATAGATTTAGACATTGTTGTTTTTGTTGAAAATTAATTATTTGTTATTTGTGAATTGTATTATGAGTTGTGTTGTAAGTTGTGATTCTTGTTCCAAATGTCAACATGAGATTTAATCAATTTCATTAGCTTAGTTTATTGACTTCTTGGTCAGATAAGATTAATTTTGAATCACAATTATTGGTTCTAATTTGTTGTCTTCTTTGTATAATTTTAGGTGATCACTATTATATGGATTCTTAAGAAGTTTTCCATCTATAATTCTAAGTTTATATACACCTTTGTTGAATGTTTGATGATTGTAATATGGATCTATTCATTTTTGCAAAAATTTTTCATGATACTGTTATGATCCAAATATTCTATAACATAGTTATTTTAATGATAAATAATTACTTTTATTATATTTAACATTTTTAATAATTAAATTTATTTAATTTAATTGTTTATTATTTAATTATTTAATTTATTATATTTTTATTGGATGAATTTGAAATCATGTGATTTTTATATATAACATGTGATTTCAACATGTAATTTCTATATGTGACCTGTATATGTGATTTTACATGTGATTTATTTATTATTTATTATTTATTAATTAATTTTGATAATTATCACAATTACTATAATTATCATCATTTATAACAATTACTGTAATTATCACAATTTATATAGTATTTATTATTTATCATTTTTATACAATTATAATATTTATTAGTAGAAAATATTTATTATAAATACAGCTGGTCTTGTAGCTATAAAAAAGCAAGTTGTAGCAATTAGTCCAACTAATGACTTGAATAAAATATCTTTAATTAAATATTCATTACTTGATTACCTTTATTAAATCTTATCTATAAACAAATTAATTACATGTAATTACATCATTATATTTATTGTACTTCTGGATATTCAACCAGGTTGCTATAAAATATCAGTACTGTATTGCTATAGGACTGTTCATACACTAAGTAAATACAAAGAAAAATATTTATTAGTAGTAGTAATATCCTATCCTATTTTATTAATAGCATAGAAGAAGATACATTGCGCATTGATCCTAAGGTAACTGGATCTTAATAGTAAACAAATGAAATTGATAATTAAACACAAAAAGATGATTGATTGAAGTTATAATTTATAATAACATTCAAGCAGAGTCAGAAAGAATGAATCGTAACAATGCCAATACTGTATTTTCATTCTCTTCATTAAGACTTTATCATTAATAAAGAACTGTTCTGAATGTTTATCTTGTTGGTAAGATTCTTTTTGTTTTTGTTGAGATTTTTGAACATTTTGTTTGGCTAATGTTCTATCAATTTCTAATTTATCTACTATAGTGCAAGCTCTTTTGATTATTTCATTTGTTGTTGTTTCTTGTCCATCTTTTAATGGTTAAAATTTGAAATCAATTGGTGTTTTAGCTTGTTTTTCATAAGTGAGATAAAATGATGTGAACTTTGTTGCACTTTGTTGTATTGTTCTATAATAATCATGTTATCATTATGGGAAATCTGAAAATCTACAAGATTTCTCTTTTACTTTCCTTCTGATTGAATTCTTTGATTTCCACAGATTTTTCTTTGAAAACAAAGTTTCAGATACTATAATGATTAGGTGAAGTTTAATTGGAAAAATCTTTAAATCTCGAGATTCTCAGATTTCCCACACAAAAATCTCAAGAACATCCTGTTTTGAAAATAAATTACATTTAACCAGTAGTTTATTAACAATCTCTTTATGCCATTAACGTAAAACATTAACTTTTCAACTCGCGTTCTATAATCTCTCTTACTAGTTCTGGATCAGCACGATCTACATGGCTGATTCGTTTTTTCTTCTCCAGTAACCCTTTAAATTCAGGAGGTGTGATTGCATCAAATCTAAAAGAAGGTATATTTTCAAGTGCCTTTTCAACAGCATCGGAAAATTTTGCGGGATGTGCTGTTGCCAAGCATATTTGATATATTTCACTAGTCACATGTTGTCTTTCCGCTGCAGTCACACCTACTGCGGTATGTGGATCAAGAACGTACGGGGAAAGCTGGTCTTTAGACTTGCAAGAGTAATAACGATTAATTGTGTCCAACGTCTACTTGACAAAGATTAATCATAGAGTTTTATCCTTATTTCTTTAGAAAGCGCCAATCTTGGTTAGAATAGATAATACCTCTTGATCTGTTACCCGGGCACTATTGAAATCACGACGTACAATTTTTTGAAGTACATCTCCAATTAGCAATCCTTTGCCTGATTTCACATCGTCATCCAATTCTTAACACGAAGACCTGCACGATTTACTCTTTTGTCTATTTCTTCGTCATGCTCAGTCTCTTCATATGCCAAGTACCATAACCATCTTTCAAAATTACTTGACACTGTAATATCCATCGCTGGACTAAGAGTTTCAACCACACCCGAATTCTCGTATCTGCCATTCTTATAAAATTGATCTAAAATATCGTTGGAATTTGTAGCAATAACCAACGAGTCAATCGGCAATCCCATTTGCTTGGCATAATAGCCTGAAAGTACATCACCAAAATTTCCCGTGGGCACTATATATTGTAACTTTACGCCAGAAATATTGTGAGAATCAGGTGTAAGATTTAAAGAATCAAGTAATTGAAAGTATGAGTGAAAATAATAGACTATTTGAGCGAGTATTCTGGCCCAATTGATCGAATTGACCGCACCCAAATGAAATTTTTGGTTAAATAGGGTATCATTGAATAAGGTTTTCACGATATCCTATTATTGAGACAATTAAAATAATCTAAGTAAAATCAAACACACGACAATTCAGTAAATTGATAATTTACAATCATTTTCTATACCTGACAATCATCAAAAGTCCCTTCTACCACCAAATTATGAACATTGTCGTCTGGTACAGTGGTCATTTCTGCCCCTTTGATTGGTGAAACTTTTCCTCGAGGATGTAGTATAATACAGAAATATTCTTTTTACCACGCAAACCATAAATGGCAGCACCCCCAGTATCCCCACTAGTTGCTCCTAAAACAGTAATTTTGTTCAATTCTTCAGCATTACTTTTTTTTGCGTTCTGTTTCTCCAAAAAGTATTCAAACAATTTTCCTAAAAACTGTAGAGCAACATCCTTAAAAGCGAATGTTGGTCCGTGGAATAACTCTAAAAGGTATAAATTCGGTGTTTTGAAGCTACTATACGAGCGATTAATAATGTTTTCTAGATCTTTTGAAGGTATTTCCGAGCTAGGAATATACAAAGAAAAGATTTTATGGGCAAGAGTTGTGTAAGGAATGTTTCGCCAGGTTGTACGCCAATCGATAGGAAGGTTAGGAATATAATGAGGAATGAATAAACCACCGTCTTCAGCAAGACCTACCAAGACGGCTTCCGAGAAGCTAAGTGATTTAGGGGAGCCGCGTGTTGACCTATATTTCATTTTCGCGAGTAATACACAAATAAGTTAAATTTTTATCGTTGAAAAATTTAGCCAATTTCGGTAAACGGCTAATTGCACCAATATATTATAATTTCTAAATATTAGCATTTTGATTGTGTTCAAGTATTAACAAAATTTTAAAATGGAAACCACAAAAGAGGACCTGTCTATTGTTTCTTCTCAAAATAAAGAAGAAATGAAAACCACAAAAGAGGAGCTTTCTATTGTTTCTTTTCATAATGAAGAAGAAATATTTTCTCCGCAAAAACTTGACGTGAAACTTCCAAATCAAACAGAATATCTTTCGCAAATAGGTGTAGATGTACATATACATAAAATTCTAATTTATACTCTTTAACTTTGTTTTTCATTAATGACAGTTTGGTACTTATACTATCATGAAATAATCAATTTTCCGAAGATAGGTGGTTCTCTTGCAAAATTAGTATATTTCTCAGTAAATTCGAATTCTTCGTCGAGTAACGAAGAGAAAGGAGGACAATTGAATTTTAAAAAGTTTGATGCAGGAAATATTGATGAATGCATCGAGTTTGTCGAGAATCTTGTTGCTGAGATAAGATCTCGTAATGATAACAACAAAGTATTAGTGAAAGCAACAGGTGGTGGTGCGCATAAATACTGTGAAAAGTTTAATAATTTGGAGGGAATTAGGTTTGAGGAGGCGGATGAACTGGATTGTCTAATCTCTGGTATATTTTATTCATATTGATATTTTATTTCAATCTAATGATATATAATATATTGTTTTCAGGTATGAATTTTTTAATTACGCGTATTCCATACGAAGTCTTCACTTATAACGATGATCAGAGTCCAAAAATATACTGTGAACTAAAACCAGTTATAATTTATCCTTACATGGTAAACTATGTTAAATCAATGAGATTTATTTATAAATGAAAAAGTATACTTGATTTTCTATTTTCGTTAATCTTTATTTTACTCCAAGGAAGCTTGTAAATATTGGATCTGGTGTAAGGTTGTTAATAATAACATTAATAATAATATTATTATAAGACATAAAAATTGCATGCATACATCATTAATAAAAGTGACATATATTTTTATTTCTTTTCTTAAACAAATAGTATATTAAAAGTATCTGGACCAGATCAATCTGAAAGAATATCAGGCTCTTCGGTAAGTCAATCGATACCTATCTTATTTCTTTGTTAAAGATAAATTGTTATTAATTTTTTTCCTGCGCGGATTTTAAAGTTGGGAGGAGGCACTTACCGGGGCTTAATATCTCTGTTAACTGGGGCAAAGTCTTTTGATGGTATATAATGATAATTTATAGTAAATCCATTATGTCTTATTGATTATTATTAACTTGCAATAAAGATTAGATATCTATATAACTAAAGTTATTTTTTGTCTGTCTTCTAATTCTTTTTAACAGAGATGCTGGAATTGAGTAAAAATGGAGATAATACTAATGTGGTAAGACACTTGTTTTAATATAAATTAAATTTTTTGCTTATTTTGATTCCTTACCGAGGAAGAGCAAACCTGTGCACTACAATGATAAGGTACAAAAAGTTATTAATTGAGTCATATCGTCCTTTAGGATCTAACAGTCGGTGATATCTACGGGGGAGCTTACACAAAACGGTCATTAAAATCTTCAGTCATTGCTTCATCGATGGCCAAAGTTTTCAGGGAAAATGTGCCTCAAGATTTGAATCATGTACGCAAAGAAGATATTGCAAATTCTTTGTTGCTTATGTTTAGGTAAATATCAACTGCATTGGTTAGTCATTTATATACTTCTGCAATAATTTTGATATTTAGTTTAATATGATATGTTCAGTAACAATATAGGACAAATCGCGTATCTGAATGCACAAGTCCACGGGTTAAAGCGACTCTATTTTGGGGGTGGATTCATTCAAGGCAATATATACAAATATAACATGAGATAAATCGGTTAGTTTTATTTCTAACTTTTTTTTTCGAATTTATTACTTTTTTAGGACAACCAATCATTATGAACGCACTATCAAACGCCATAAAGTTTTGGTCTCAAGGGACCATGAAGGCATTATTTCTTCGACGTGGTGGATATTTGGGTGCCGTAGGTGCATTTGTTGATGGAAGTGATCATCGTGAACAGATTAAAGGACTATATTAGTATTAAAGGACAAATTTCTCGTGGAATGGAGATCTTTAATAAACTTTATCTATTTATTAAAAGATAATTATTATTCTTTATTTGATCTAACATCCATATACTTTTTCTATATAATCGACCAACTTTACAAATATCTTAATATTTTTGTTTATAGAATACTGTGAATTTATCTTATAACCAGTGTAGTCTTTGCAAATAAAGATCTTTACAGTAAGTAATGACTGCAATCATATGAAAAAGCATGAAGTGAGCAAAGTATAAAATAATCTTTTAATATTATTGTATGTTAGTTAAAGTGCTAAAAGATTCACTAAGTGTTTAACAAGTTCACTAAGAACTTAAGAAAAATATAAGTTTACAAAGAATAGGATGAGTTCATTAAGAACTTGAAGTATTATTAAAGGATTTATAAAGAATAGAACACAAAATTCTTTAATATTTGATTATTACTTCACCAAAAAGTATTTTAGATTCACTAAGAATCTTTATTATTAATCAAGAAGAAAAAACACAAAGTAATCAATTTTTTGATAAACATACAATAAGTCAATTATTATATTTATTAAGAAATAAAAACAAAGAAATTTTATTAATACTTAGTTAATCAAAAATTATCTAAACTATCTGAAATTATCTAAAAATTATCTAAAATACATGCTATATTTATAATTATTATTCATTATTCAATTTTTTAATCTAGAACTAATTTATTTTATTTAGAATAAGATATAATTCATTTTATAAATTATCTTGTGATACTTGTATTAATGTTTCACATCTTTTGCTTGAGTGTAATTAATTATTATAAATTATTATTAAGCTAATTTGGTTTTTAAAAATCAATTAATATATGTCTTTTATACTAAAAATAATAATATAAAAATAATATAAATTAAATATAAATACTATAAAATATAATTAAAATAGTATAAAATATAATTAAAATAGAATGAAATAATATAAAATGAATAATATGAAATATAATTAAAATAAAATAAAATAGTATAAAATATAAAATAAATAATAAAAACTAAAAGAGATTGTAATTTGTAAGCCACATGTATATTAGCTATTCAATAGAAATATACTTTAAATAATATAATATATTTTTTATTTAATACTAAAATATTATATAATAATATTAGCCAATTCTTCAAATAAATTAATTTTTCAGTTTTATAAATATATTTATATATTTTTATATTTAAAAAAATTTTTATAAAATTTGTTTTGTAATTATATTTTTCTTTTATTAATTGATTCTAGTTTAATTATAAGAGAAATTATTTTTAATTACACAAAATTTTTTTAGTAGTGCATAATCATATAATAATTAATCAATTAAATTTACAATATATTTGATTAATTAAATTAAATTGAATTTATTATTATTAAAAAATTTAAATTTTAAAGAAAGTTAAAATTAATAATAAAATTTATCAATATATAATCTTTTTTTTGGGAAAAAATAAAAAATTAATATAATAATATTACTTATTTCTTAAATTATTTAGTATACAAAATTGCACACTAAAATATATTTTTACTTGTATTTATAATTTTTAATTTTCTTATTTTAAAGATTAAAATTATATAACTAATTATTTTTATAGATTTTATATTGTTGTGATATGAATTTTAGCATATCACATAACTTTTCATAGTTAATTTTCATTGGATAATTGATTTATAAATCATATCCATATTTATTTCATACTATTTTTATAATATTTCATTCTATTTCTATTTTATTTC